GAAGGCNNNNTCGGAATCCTCGAAAAGGCACAGGTAGATCGGTATGATTGACGTATTAATGAGGAATTTTGAAGTCGACAATGGATGCGGGGGGGGCTTGACCTAATTTAATTATTGTTCGGCGCGTATTGAAATGGAATTTATTTGGGCCGCTAAAATCTATGGATATGGATGGGGGTGAAATTCAATTTACCAAGTTGTATAAGTATTGGGGGTAGGAGCAGTTAAATTGTAGGCGTGCTTGCCACTTCTAGCCAACAAGACAATTCAATTACTAGGTTTATTTCTGCGGCCGGGTGGGTTCTAACCACCAAACAGCCCGTGAGTTATAAGCGAACTAGACTTAAATCAAGGTGCAATCGCCGACTTCGACCTTAGTAAGGTTAATGTGGTCGCCGGCTATTAGCGAAGACTTTTATTTCCTGTTGAGAAGTTCCACTCCCCGGCAGACGTATCGCCTAACTTCTAACATAGTACAGCAGAGAAGGTGCACAGTTTCCACGATGGAAAGTATTTATTTTTTTTAACTTCATCAGCTTCATGGTGCGGGTGTACTGGCCCTGTACAAACAGGTCTATATAGAAATCGGTATGCTAATTGTGGCTACAATGTTCTCGAGTTGAATACTACGTTCAAACATGCGATATGATTAATCAGACATCATCCCGATTCCTTTGTCGGCACCGCTGCGGCCGGCAAGACTCGCTCTTAAGTCCACTACGAACTGGGCCTTTGCACCGCGAATCGTTTATGCTCCAATCTATGTACTTTATTGTTACTATCAAGAGGATCTCGAAGAAGGATGGCCACGGCTCGGCCATAAAACCTTATAGAATTCAGATTAAGTTAATTAATTAACTGCCCCTCGTCCCGCGTACCGCGCACCATCCAGTCCCGATCCCGACTTTTATTAATTGTTTATACATATTGTTTATAGAAAAAAAGGGCATTAGATAATTAATTGTTCGGCGCTACGAAAAGCGCCGGTCATTAGCGGCGGCAATGCATTTATTTTAATATAGAATCAATTTAATTCCCATTCGAAAATTAATGTTTCCTAGTCCCGATTTTGACGTATTAATATAATAGGCCGGACGGAATGCAGGCCGCAGATGAAAGAATCCGAAGTGACCGGAACGAATTCCCATGATTGTCGAGAAACCGCCAGCAATCGATGCCAGCAGGTCCACCAGTGTACCAGAAGTTTGGCGAATAACTTACCAAATTAATTAAACGTTAGACAGTGATGAATGCGAGGCCTTCAGTTTATGGAGCAAAGGCACGAAACGACGGATCACATGCAGATATTCCCCATATTTATAGCGCGCACGAAAATTAATCGAATATTTCCTGGACACAGAATGGAAGGGGGATGATAATAATAAAAGCAATCGGTTTGCAATTCAACCCACAAAGCGGACTCTCAGATTGGGGAATTTTTGCTCAAATTTCCAATTCCGAAATGAAAACGAAATCTCTCCTTCCTCTCCTCTCCTCTCCGCCATCCATACATAACATATATACGGCTGCACCCGTTATCAGCCCTTTAGAACTTGGCCAATCACTTTAACCCATGATACAATCACCCTCCAAGTACATTCCCGATGCATTCATAGCGCAGACCTAATAAATATCAATGATTACTCGCATTTCTATTATTTCCCTTCGAGAGAATACGAAAACGTATGCCGGTATAATTCCACTCAATTATATTTAATTTTCAGATAGGACAGGTAGACTGGAAATATGTTCTCACGGTATTATGAATAAGTAAATATCGGTTTTGACTAAGCAGCCGAGATTTCCGACTTTGGCGCGGAACCTTTCCAAGAGTAATCTAATTAAAAGCTTAATTATCGAACGCGTTTGTTTATTTGGTCACAGATATATCATTTATAGGTGCGATTGTAATTCTGTGTCTCGCGGGGGCCTTAAACATATGTTTTATAATTTAAATTGGATGTATATTAGGGTACAGTTATCTGATTCCATTCGATCCGCCCTCTTGCTGCACCGTTACCACCGGCTCAGGTGGAAAAAGCGACAGGTAAACGGTGCACTTCATTTAATATTTAATAAAATTCACCGAAACAAAGCCCGATAGGTTTCGAAGACAAGACGAAACTCGATTAAGAAGATTCAGCTCTAGGTGTGCAATATTTTCATATCAAGCAAGATGATGATAATAATAAGAAGTAAAAAGACGCTTCGTCCTAATCTAGACTAATTGAGCTTTGATGTGGCCGCTATGACGCAACGGAACAAATTGTTCGCAAATTGGAATTAAATGCAAAAGTATCGCAGCTCCCAGGATTAATTGTCGGACTTTTACATAACGCGCGTGCAAAGCAATGGGGAAAAATATAGAAATAACCTATGAGAGAGTCTAATTGCGACCGAGCCAATTGCAATTAAGGGCAGAGCCGAAGAGCTGGACGACTTTTACGGATTTTACCTGGCCATAAAATTTGTTTTAATTGGGCCTCCCAACGGCACACAAAAATAAAATTTCGGGGTAGCCGTTTAATCATTACGGGGGCATTTAATGAGAGGGCCCCCCCTGTTCATAATTTTGGGGCACAATATTAAGAAAACGATGAACAGAGAGAAACACACAAAAACAACATGTTAAAAAAGGAGAGAATATGTATGATGTTGTATTGTGTGTGTGTGATATTTTGCGGGCATCCAAGAAAGCGTGACAGCTGAGGAGACTTGCGATATAAAAATTTTAATGAACGGAATCACAATTTAATAAAATATTCACATCCGCATGGTAATAAGTATGCATGACATTTGGAGCCGCAGTCCGGCAAATATGTGTCCGTTTTAATTACCGCGATGGAATAATAATAAAATTAACGAATCACAGGTGCACTTCCTCTGTTACCGCCGCCGCTGCCGCCGTTCGTGTCATGCAACCTAAACCACAAATTGAGAAATAATCGCCAGCCGCAAACGCACATGCAAAAAACTCGCACACAATTTATTTTATTTTTTTGGTCCCTTCCTTTCGAGCATTTCCACCTTCAACTAACAAATCACTGCTTACAAGTGTAAGATTTAAGATTTTGTTATACGTTTGAATATTGAATAATGAATATGCTTCATTGCCTTATTTGTTACTATTGGTAATTAGTAATGTTAACCTGTATGAATAATCGCGTATGAATAAAACCGCGTTGAAGGAAGTACAGTAGTTGTGTATGTGTGTTGGATCGGTTGAGAAATAAAAACCGGAGCCGTTCACGTGTGAGTGAATCCCCATACGTTTTCCATTTGCAAAATACTATCATTTTTATTGCGTTAATTAATAAGGAATCTCTTCATTACGTACAGTTTTAAGAAGGCAATTACCGTTGGTAATTGCTGGTGGAGGTTCGAAGCCCTTGAGTATTTTGCATATGCGATTCGCCGGGACATTAAGAAAGCCGATGATTGTCTTAAATTACAGAGTGCACAATCACATGCCACCATCATATGTTCCGCAGCATATACACCTATGATCTCCGTTGCTTATTTAATTTTTTTTTCATCATCTTCTTTCCTTTCCTCGCCGTTGAGAAGGCTTAATTTGCGTATCCTCGTAAAATGAAACTAATTTGTTTTTAATATCACTTGTGACAATGGTGCCGTAACACCTAGGAGCAGAACATTTTAATTTAATAATTTTGTGTGTGCTGTTTGCATTAAGCCACTTCTTGTACACATCACCGTTACGCTCGCTTAACAAATTTGACTGTGAATGAACGGAACTGCGACACAAGAAAACGAAACCGCGCGTAGAGTGTAAGAAGTACAATGTATGCTCGACCGTTTCTTAGAAATTAATTTGCTCCCTGAAAACTCCCCCTCGATGGATGCTTTTTTTTTTCTGGCAAAAGCAGCAGCAGAAAAAAAAAACGAAATAAAATAGGACCGAGAAGGAAAGGAAGAAAAATCGTATACACCCTCGAAAAAAAAAAAAAGAAAAGTTTTTTGTGTTTTTCTACCTGCCGGTTCTAATGAGAAAAAAAAGCGCCTTATACCTGTGCAAAAGAAGTGCTTTGGCGCCAAAGTTTCTTACAAAATCATCTCTGAACAAAACGTGAATATGCGCCGCAAAGGATTCCAACGCGAGGAGGCCCCCCCAAATTAGTGCCGGACATATGGATGACGAAAAAGAAATAGACGTCCTTCTTCCACACACGCATTCGTTTGTTTCAGAGCAACTTTTATGACTTAATGTTAGCCTCAATAAAAGATCTAGAAAGACAAAACCTGAACAACAATCCCTAATTGCACTTTCTCCTCTTCACATGATAATTCCAACTGGAATCAATTTTTTTTGCAAAAGCCCGATATTTTAAAATGCATTAAGCAGCTGGGATTGTTATCACAATCAAAAGCGAGTGGACAACGTAGCAAGAGAATGAAAAACAAACAAGAACAAGAACAACAACAACAAAACGAAAAAAATAACAAAACGGCGTAGGTACATATCAGCAAATGTCATTGCGTTAGCGTATATCCGGTGTTTAATTAAGATTGTAGAAAAAAGACTCTTTAAACGGAAAAGCGAATGTACGATGGGTTTCGGAGAATCCGAGGGATGCCCAATATGGTAAAATTAGCCGCGCAAGAATCTCGCTTATCCTTACGTTCTCGCTCACCAGCTCGGAATTAACTTAGATTTCATATGAACATGTGTCACAGAAATCCTCCCCAAGTCTTGGCAGCCCCTCGGGGTGCGACTGCATCGCGCATAAAAAACACTTTAACCTGTTACCCACCCCAAGCGGATGGGAAATAGATGGGGAAAAAAAAATAGTCGCTCCCACAACAGTGGCGAATTGGATGTGTCTTGGCCGCAATTACAACTCTTCTCGATGTTGCGTTGCAAAAATGAAAGTTTAAAAAATTCTTCATCCAAGTTTCACTTTGTTATAATTACCATATACACATTATATATATATATACTATTTTTTTCGTATTTATTTCATATTTAACGAAATTCGAACTTACCGTAAGGTTTTTCCGCCGCTATAGGCGAGGGCGCGATTTCTGCAAAAAGAAAATATTCCGTTTTAGAAACAAGCTTAGTACTAGAATTATCACATAGTTAAGAACGAACATAATGATCGGATATTACCGCGCGTATAATGAAACCCACTCTCCTCCACCAATTATAATGTAATTAGGGGGAAAACGGGGGGGCGGCTCGATTAAAAAACTCGGGTGTATTATTTTTTTTTTTTCGGTTATTGTTGTTGGAGAGATGACGACGCCCCCAAAACAAATTAAAAATCTTGATATGTTTTGCATACGGTCCTTGATTTATCGGACTTTTAAATTGAACCTGTAATAAGGCCGTGTAGAACGCCCAGTCCAGTTCAAGATCCAGATTTCTGATGATCGAGTGTCGAATGGCCACTCGATGGGGATCAGGAAAGAACTGGCTGAGGAGTTGCTGCTCCTTCGCGTGGCGGATCTTCCATGAAATGTAAATGGCTCAAACCTTAATTGGTGTGTTTAGCCGATATTATAATATATGTAACGTGGTGCTGTCAAATTAAGCACTAATGCACACGCTTTTGAATACATTTACATGGGAAAATCACTCGATTCCGAGCCAACACAATGCATTCTTTTTATTTAGAACCGTGCATATTCAGACTATAATCCATTGCATTTAAATCATTTAAAGAATCTCGACGCTATTATTTATTGTTGCATTACCGCGCAGCTAATAACAAAACTCCGGTCGGAAAGCGCAATGGAAACAATAACGTACAGATCTATTATTACGATCGAAAGCAGGAAAGAAATCTAATTGCAAACATAAGTTTTCTTCACATTTGAATCTTTAATAAAAAAAAATAGTATTACTATTGCGTCTCTCATTTGATTTGCTTCTATATTAATTTTTAAAATTATAAATTTTGTTGTATATTTACAGAAATTAATTAATTAACTAATGTGTGGTCAAAAAAGCAGTTAATTTTATAGCATTAATTAATTTAAGGAACGGAAAAGCTTGAAGCGCACCGAAAATTCTCTTATTGTATAATATAATAATAATAATGTTTAAAGCGTAATTAAGTCGTATTAATTGTTTTCGTGACTGCGTCGAGTTGAAAGATGAATTATTTTATGCATTTTATTCGCTACCTGTTTTGTATTCGTTATTGCTGTGAAGAGGATGTGATATTTTTAGTTCAATCATTTGTCGAGATTGGCTTGAGAATGAAATGCACTAGGTAAGAAATTGCCCCCAAAAAAAAGAAGAAACAAAAGTGTATGTAATACTTTAATGTGCTGTGCGCATAAGAAGAATGAGTTGGTGAGAAAATGAGATACGAAGCTATGACATTTGCATGATTTTACTTAGTTCTTCTCTTCAAATCCGGTAATTTAAATGATTAAGTCGACTTAATCGCGCGTATTGATTCTCACGTGGATCAAGCGGATATTTTTTTCTTGTTCTTGATCTCCATCATATTTTGCAATAGCGGAGAAGAGTGTGTATGCTATACATAATAGCCATTATCATCGCTCAGTGGAAACTAATAGATGGTCCATTAATATAACCAATTTATTTCATTATAATAATTCATTTCTTGGACATGTGTGAGTCAGCAATACCTTTGTGTATCAAAGAAAGGTTACAGTGGCTGCGGCTACTTTGCATACACGACCATGAGAGTGGATCGCGATGATATTTAAATTTGGTGCGAGCATACCTGAGCTAAAAATCATTAGTATGGGAAATATCCATAGAAAACAAAAGAGATGCCGAAGCACAGCGGATTCGGGCCCTGTCATGCGAATTTCTTCTGGGTGGAGACCGACGTGAAAAGGGATCATAAATTACTCGCCGAGAGGAAGACGGAGTGAGAGAGAAAAAAATTAATTACTTTCTAATAGATTCACTAATATGGCGTAGCAATTTTCGGGGGGACCCAAGCTGTCGCAACGGTTGGCCTCTACTAATTATGAGCATCCGCAGGTGTATTCTTCTTCTACTGACAAAATTGAAAGACTAAGAGGAAGAAGAAGTCACTATTTGCGGTTTCGCATAACTATTTCGTCCAGAGGAACATAACTATAATCATTATAAGATAAAAGGACAAGCAGAAATAACATATCGGCTAGAGTTGTTAGAAGCCAGACATATGTCTAATAGAGACTTAAATTATTTACCAATTAGAAACCGAGGAACACGAAGGTACCGCGCTTACCTAATAAATTAAAGAAACTTGTGTTTCTCTACATACACTCACAAGAATATTAAACTTGGATTTATGCATAATTTATATAGTAATTAGTTGTATTTTCGTTGGTGAATGCTTAATTAGTGTTAATTAGTTGAAGCGTCGTTTATTTATTTATTATTTTGTACGTAAATGTGGGGGTGATTTTTTTCTTCTTCTACCCCTCTACGTGAGGAATTCGGTCCTCTTGCAAAAAGCTCGTCATCTACCTGCATGCAGTAAGTGTGCAGGTGTCAAAAACTTGAAGAATAGAATCGCAGGTATATGACCGTAGGGTGCGAGGGGGTGGAAATCACATACACGGACGTATGTGTTATGCTTCGAATGTGTATTATTTATATATTGGATGTACTTGATGATGCAATGCTTACCGTTTCGGATGGGTCCAGAGCTTGGTGGCGTCGAACGCGGAGAGGAATTCGGCGGGCCAACTCCTTCGTCCTCTGAACTACTCGACGGGCTGCTTCCACGCGTGAAACTCTTGTTATTGTTCGAACTGTTAAAGTATACACCGTTGTTCTGGAGCAACATCATCTGTTGCTGCGTGAAATTGTTGAACTGCTTTAGTTGCGATGCGACGGTGCCGGCGGTCTTCGTCTTGAACTTGGACATGGTGAAGTCCAGCGGCTGGTCGGCTTCGGAGAGGAGGACGTGGTTCGGCTGCTGCAGCAACATCGGCATCTCTTCCTTGCTGCTACTCCTCCAGAAGGTTTGCGATAGGAAGTCTATCGTGTTGTTGTTCAAACTGTTTTTTATCGATTTCGGTGTATCTATGTTGTTGTTCTGGGGGGTGGGTGACGTTTCAACCCACCTCCGCACCGTTTCACTTTTGTAATCCGCCAGATTCGCTACTTTACACCCACTCATATAAATATCTGGAGGTGTCCTTTTCGAACGTCCCTTGGCCACGCGCACTGATCTCCAACCACTGGTCTCGCTCCAATAAACAACAATCTCTGAACTTTATACTACAACTCAATGTCCGGTCATTGTTTAGGGTACATAACTCGTCGATGGTCTGGTTAGTTTTGTCGTTCGACTGTTATACTCGTATCTGACTGTACGATACGTTTGCTTATGTATATATATATAATATATGTTTGTATCACAACACGCTCGGATCGGGCCGGTATATCTAGGAATGTTGTTATACAAGTGCGATATGTGTGATGGTCTCATCCACTGTGTGAGGACTGAAGACTCCACGGTGCAAGCGGCGCTACAATCCGGAGTCGTATAAAGCATGTATATGTATTTTGCATTGTAGGATGCTGTGCAGCGCTTGGAGGGGGACACAAACTCCGGACTGTTGGAGAAGAAGGGGAAACCCACCGACCAATGGGATACGCGCGCACACCGATATACAATAGTACATAAATTGTATGGATTATTTATTTATTCTATACGTTATGTATTTATGAATATATATGTACCCCGTTAAGTTATAGCAGGTTTTCCAACTATTTTCCATTAACCTTTTTTTTGTTTTCCTTCATTTTGTGTGCGTATGCCTCCTATTCTACATACATTTTTCCATCCATAATCAATACATAATGTCCATGCATTTTATGTATTATTCCAATATATAACTAACTATATAAAATCACAACTAATTGCTTCTTTCTTACCGATTATTAATAATACTGAAATACCAACTTTATTCATAGATTACTTTAGTATTGCCAACGCGAATCCAATTAACTTCATAATAAACATGAACTAAACTAAAACATGTTACTAATAGTTGTAAATGTCATTTATACATATTAAAAACAGCAATAAATGTAAACCTGTCCAAATGCAATACAATTTAGTTTACAAATGTCGCCATTTCTTTTATATTAATAAAAATATATTATTTATTTAAAATTTATCATTATTTTTTATAGCATAAAATATACATCTCAATTATTTCATTATAATATATATATTATTCAATCAATATATATTAAATGTAATAGAATATTCAAAATAAATATTTTTATATTTAGAAATTTAACGAAAAATATAGTTTATTATACCACCATTTTGATGTTCACTTTATTATATTAATCATAATTGTAATCCATTCACATTTATAAGATAAAGAGAAGATGATAATAGTTAATAATAATTAATCGATATAAATTATATAGAAATATTTCAAATTTCAGCTCAGTCACAACAAAATATGTGCACGAAGTGACATGAAAGAAGTTGTCTAAATTTCTAAAAAAAAATGTATATTTATATATCTCTGTAAAAAAACTATTGTCAGTTTTTTACCCTAAAACTAAATTTATTTTTCGGACGAAATCGTAAACCTATTGAGCGGTCAACCTTGACATTTTTTAAGAATTATATTTAGTTATATATCATTAAGTACGGTATTCATTAATGAAATTAACAAAAATATTTTGCATTGACATTCTTGTATACAACTAATTTAGATGTAATTTGTACTTTTTATTATCCAAATATTTATGTTTTGTCCAAAACATGTTTTACCATGAAAGTACGTTTTTTATCATGTTTTGGGTTGTAAAAATAATAAAGTAATAAAATTCAATGTAATAAATATTAGTCCCATTATCGGTAGGTTTTTTAGCATACTAAAAAAAACATTTTCACTTTCCTTTTTTCAATTTGAAAAACTTTGCTCATCTTGGAACTGCAGGTAGTTCTTTTAGAAGCTACACCGGCTAGATTTCAATACAATTTCATTAAACTAAAAGTAAATTATTAATACTAAAATTATTATTAAATAGAATGTTAGCAATGTTAAATTAAATCGAATGTTTATTGAAATATATGTTCATCATACGTGATGAACTTTCTATACACAAATCGTCATTAGAACGTAATTTCTTCAGGTGCAGACTGATTGATGTATGGAAAATACAGCTAAAATACAATCAACGCTTTAATAACTGTGTTTATCGTTTAATTAGTCTCAATAAAATTATTATAAATTCCTTGCATAATGAAAGAATCCGTACGCGGTGAAATGCATTTGTGCAATTGAATCCGTACTTGGGGAGCTCCAATAATTCATGTAGAAGAATCGTTACGAAACGTCGACGCATACCAAATTTGTTCATTATAATTGTGATTTGAATAGGCTATAGCCATTTACATAATCCAAGATCGTTGTATTAATTAGACGAGAAATGAGATTTCCATAAAGGACACAATTAATTGGATTACGTATTTTAATTAGTTTATAAAATTTACAATTATTTATATCACTTAAATATACTAATTATTGATTGTTATACTTGTAACCACAATACAGAATTCCGTGAAGATATTAAATTGATGGAATCTGAGAAAGAGGTGTTTCTTTTTTCTTTCTTTCCTTTCGATGCAGCGGAAATAGAGAAGAACATCGCCGTTCGTGTGCGGTTGGTGGTTCCCAAATATGAATGTGCAAAAATGGAAAGCAATTGGTGATGAATGAATCATGACAAACGCATTCTGGATATAAATGCACGAAAACAAGTTGGTTTTGACGCCGAAATGTGCGAGATTTGGGCATGGGAAAAAGGTTAAAGTCATCGTAATCAAAATATTATAATTGATGGATGAATACTAGTAGTAAATACAGTAGCAAAAAAAGAACATTTTTAACGCAATTTTAATTATGAATTATTTTAATTTAGATTACATAAAACGCGAAACTTAACATTGTTTTAACTTTTACTGTGTTGGTTTTATTTGTGTGTGAAACTTATAATTGCAAAAAAAAAATTCAATTAGGAAGGGCGAGCAAAGAGGAATATGGCTATTGTGATGTAAATATTTGCTCCGATGCAAATGCTTATCTCTCGTAAATATTGGGAATATATTAATTTAGGGGTAAGTCCGTCCTCCCCTTGAGTAGACATAATAAGAGAAAATCGCAAATAGGATTTGTAGCCGGACAATGGATGCAGACGGACCTCTAAGCACTTCCGCTCCCTCACGCACACCGAAAACTCTGCAGAGAGAAGTAGCCGTTCGTTGCGTGAATTATTAATACGACGCATTTATGATTTATTCACGTATCAATTCGTTAATTATTCTTTTAATTGCCGGAATACGTCTGCACGGATGGATAATTAAATAATACATATTTTAAAAATCACAGGTGGCTTCTTACAAATCAAACAAGGTTTTCACCAAATTTGGTAGACATAAAAACAACAACCATTGTTTTAGTCAGACAAATTTCGAATGTCTGATAACCTTATGTAAAAAAAAATTATTACCGCGAATACATTTATATGTACAAGAAAAAGAACTTTATAATATGTTTAATTATAAACTTTCTCAACATGGAAAATGATAAAATAATTATTATTTATATGTTGAAGCTATAGCTTTGTAATTTATTCATTTGTTCCATTTTTATTCCTTCCTTTATTGTTTTGTTTTTATTTATTTCATTTAATAGTTTGTTATATGCAATTATTTTTGTGCACTACAATAGTTTTCCGCTTTATAAAAAACAACCTTGATTTGTAGTGAGTATTGATTTTAATTAATTTTAGAAGATTATAACGTTTCTTGTTTTCTTTGTTAAGAGGTGTGCATCTTGTAACTGTCCTTCAATCACGAGGTCTTTCAACCGTGTGAATTGTATGAACGTGTTTAACAACTCATCAGTATTATTAAATTATACATTTTATACATAATTGTATTACTACAAAAAATGTAATATTTAAAATGTTGTATGTACATAGATTAAGATATGAAATAAGGCAGCATTTTGTCGACTTGGGACGCATTTACATTTAAGATGTTGTGGGCGTATACAAATCGGCCGTGACGTCTTCTTCTACTTCTTCTTCTTCTTCCGCCTAGCGCCTGTTTAAAATATCGCCCGTTATGTAATACATAAGGAGGTGTGCGTTACATAAGGGAACCCACGCATATTCAGATTAGGTCGCGCAGTCGCGTACCCCATTAGATATGCACCAATGCCCGTGTTCCACCCTTGCTGCGAGCTGGGGTGGCGCAGAAAGCGATATTTTATTTTAAAACGGATTTCTATTGGCGGCCGGAGATTTTGATATCAAACGCAGAAGATATGGATCGCGTTTAACGCAGGCCTCACCCTCTCGCCCCGTGCAAAATCCACGATTCCCATAAAAACATGCACCTTTTCTTTTGCCTCGAAAATTCGTTAAAAACGATTAAAATCTTTACCGTTTTTTTTTTCTTCTTTTTAATACAATATGTAGAAAAATCTGCGAAAGATAGGTAAACCCGTTGTAATTCCACCCCGACGACCTAAATTTCCTAAAAAATGTGTGAGAATCGCAAAAATGTACGGTGAATCTTGAGGGGGACCGGTGTTTCCAAAATAGCGGTAAAAAAATGACGAAGGGATGAATTTGCTTGAATAAAATTTACTTTTATAGAAAAAAAAAAAAGAGCGTAAAGTAGGTCGCAAGGTGGGGTGCCGAAAATAAAGAAGAAGAGAAGAGGAGACGCTCCGTAAAAAGGTAAAAAATCCCGTTTCCTGGGAAAAACGAAACCACCCTTGCGCGAGAATTTTTATTTAATGAAATCCATTCAGCCCTTCGTAATTTTGCATCCCTCACATGTTTGCTTTTTAGGGGGTTTTTAAAGTAAAAAAACACGTAAATTCGGTCCCCTCGCCGTTTCCAAAAAAAAGGGATACAGATAATTCGCCGAGATATGCGTGTGAATTCGAAATTTTCGACCTTTTTCACCAAAAAAAAAAAGAAAACTGGAGAAAAGGAAGAACGTAAGTAATTCCATTAGCTAGGTAAATTGTTCGTGCACTTACACACATCCCTTTTTCGATATTTCATTTTATTTGGCAGAGATTCAAGTAAGTAGAGAGTAAGTAAAAATGGAGGAGTGCGGGCTTTGGAGGAGAGAGGAGTGGACTAAAAAAAAAATTAATATCTCCAGCCGAGCGTGGACATTATCAAGATGTTATAAAATTTCCCGTCGCTTGCAACAATAAAGAAGTTTTACAATAAAATTTCATAAATAATTTTTCAGCATAATTGCTTTATCCTGAACGTTACCCCTTTATAACATAGTAAAGCTCGAGTAAGTTTAATATTAGAGTGTATATTATTGAAGAAGCAGTCCGCGCGCCCTCGTGCGTCCGCAAAACTCGCCCCCAGCGCCCCCACGCATAGGGGCTACTTTCGGGTCGGGCCGGCATTAAAATCAATACAACTTCGTATATGCTATAATATATCTGCAGTTCGCCATTCACAC